CCTCCTGAATTTAAAATTTAAAATTTTGGTCGCATCACAGTGACCAAACAGCAGACCCTTCCTGGTGGCCCTTTCTGTCCTTACTACTCACATGGTGTCTGCCCAGACTCTCTTCCTGCCTGCCCCTCTGCCCACCTAGAAATGGCAGAAAGTGGTTTCCTAGTTTGAGTTCCTAGAAGCAACGTCTGGGCCAAGGGCTTGCAGTTCATCTGAGAAGAGATGGCAAGAAAAGCCAATGGAAGTAAGAGCTGAGACTGGGAGCAGCTGGGGAGTTACCAAGCTAGTCACCACTGTGGGCCAAGTAGCCCTAATAGTACAGTGTGTTTCCATGCTTATTTGGCGACGGGAAGATTGGTGGTTCAAACCTACCAGCCACTCATTAGCAGAAAAGACCTAGTGATCTGCTCCCATAAAGATTGTTGTTGTTAAGTGCTGTCGAGTTGGTTTCGACTCATGTTGGTGTTGTGAGGTGCCATCGAGTCAGTACCAACTCATAGCAACCCTATCAACAGAACGAAACACTGTCCAGTTCCGGGCCAAACTCACAATGATTGCTACATCAGAGCTCATTGCTGCGGCCACTTTACCAATCCATCTCTTTGGGGGGCTGCCTCTTTTTCTCCGACCCTCCACTTTACCAAACATGATATCCTTCTCCAGTAATAATATGTCCAAAGTATGACAGACAAAGTGTCGCCATTCTGGCTTCCAAGGAGCATTCTGGCTGTACTTCTTCCAACACAGATCTATTTGTCTTTTGGCAATTCATGATACTTTAATATTCTCCTCCAACACCATAACTCAGATGCATCAATTCTTCTACGATCTTCCTTATCCAGTGACCAACTTTACCATGGCTTGGGTCAGGTGCACCTTGGTCTTCAATCTGACACCTTTGCTCTGCAACACTTTAAAGAGTTCTTGTACATCAGATTTACCTAATGCAATATGTCATTTGATTTCTTGACTGCTGTTTCCACAGTGTTGATGGTTGATCCTAGCAAAATGAAATCTTTGACAACTTTAATCTTTTCTCCATTCATATGGATGTTGTTTATTGGTGAGGATTTTTATTTTCTTTACATTGAGATGCAACCCATCCCAAAGGCTGTGCTTTAGATCTTCATCACTAAGTATTTTAAGTCCTCTTTACTTTCAGCAAGCAAGGCGGTATCATCTGCATATGGCAGGTTGTTAATAATCTTCCTCCAATCCTGATGCCACGTTTCTCTTCACATAATCCAGTTTCTCAGATTATTTGCTCAGGTTGAATAAATATGGTGAAAGAATACAACCCTGTTGTACACCTTTCCTAATTTAAAACCATTCAGTGTTCCCTTGTTCTGTTCAAACCACTGCCTCTTGTACAGGTTCCTCATGAGTACAATGAAATGTTCTGAAATATTGTCCATAGCTTGTCATGATTGTTGTTGTCCATAGTGTTATCCATAGCTTGTCATGATCCACACAGTTGAAAGCCGGTGCATAGTCAATAAAGCAACAGGCAAACAAACATCTTACTGGCATTCTCTGTTTTCAACCAAGATCCATCTGATGTCATTAATGGTATTCCACATCCTCTTCTGAATCTGGCCTGCACTTCTGGAAGTTCTCTGTTAATGTATGATTGCAGCCATTTCTGTATTATCTTCCATAAAACTTTATTCACATGGGACATCAATGATATTGTCCAGTGATTTCTACATTCCATTGGGTCACCTCTCTGGAATCGGCACAAATACGGATCTCTTCCAGTCAGTTGGCCAAGTAGTTGTCTTCCAAGTTTCTTGGCATAAATGAATGAATGCTTCCAGTGTTTCATCAATATGTTGAAAGATTTCAACTTATAGTCTATTAATTCCCTGTGCCTTGTTTGCCAATTCCTTCAATGCACCTTGGACTTCTTCCTTCATGATCATTGGCTCTTGATCATATGCTACCTCTTGAAATGACTGAACATTGACCATTTCTTTTTGGTACACTGACTGTATATTCCTTCCATCTTCTTTTGATGCTTTCTGCATCATTCAATGTTTTGCCAATAGAATCCTTCAATACTGCAAGTCGAGGTTTGAATTTTTTCTTCAGTTCCCTCAGCTAGAGAAATGCTAAGCGTGTATTTCCCTTTTAGCTTTTGAACTCCAGATCGTTGCACATTTTGTTATAATATTTGACTTTGTCTTCCTTAGCTGACCTTTGAAATTTCCTATTCAACTCTCCACTTGTACCTCCTCACTTCTTCCATTTGCTTTAACATCTCTACTCTGGAGAACAAGGTTCAGAGTCTCTTCTGACATCCATTTTGGTCTTTTCCTTTTTTCTTTCTTTCTACCTGTATGATGTTTTTGCTTTCTTCATGTATGATGTTCTTGATGTCATCCCACAACTCTTCTGGTCTTCGGTCTTTTGTGTCTAATGTATCAAATCTGTTTTCAGATGATCTCTAAATTCAGGTGGGATATAGTCAAGGTCATATTTTGGCTCTTGTGGACTCGTTTTAATTTTCTTCAGCTTCAGCCTGAATGTGCAGTCTGCCCCAGGCTTTGTTTTGGCTGATGATATGAAGCTTTTCCATCGTCTCATTCCACAGATGTACTCAATTTGATTTCTGTGTATTCCATCTGGTGAGGTCGATGTTTATAGTCATCTTTTATGTTGCTTAAAAAAGGTATTTGCAATGAAGTCATTGGTCTTGCAAAATTCTATCATGCTGGCTCCAGCATCGTTTCTGTCACCAAGGCCGTATTTTCCAACCATTGAACCTTCCTCTTAGTTTCCAACCTTTTTATTCCAGTCACCAGTTAGTGTTAATACATCCTAATTGCTGTTTGATCGTTGTCAGACTGAAGAAGTTGGTAGAATTCTTCAATTTCATCATCACTGACTTTAGTGGTTGGTGCAAAAATTTGAATAATAGTGGTATTAACTAGTTTTCCTTGTAGGTGTATGGAGATTATCCTATCACAGACAGTTTTGTACTTCATGACTGATCTTTATATGTTCTTTGTGATGATGAATG